ATCTATCTACGGTGAAGTTTTTTGATCTCAGAAGTTGCCACATGAAAAAACTGTTGTTTAAAGAGTATTTTTATGAATTAACCATGCAAATTTCAAAAGCATTAGGCTGCATAAAAGGAGTGGGTTTTTATTGTTCTTGTCCAGACAGACTGCTATACTAACCGATTAAAGAAGTCTAGGCTCTAACCCACCAAAACAACTATGCCCACCTTCATGCCCAGTGTCATTTGAAATCTCTATAAAGCTGAAAGGTAAGCACTCATTGAAGTACTCCATAGAACTGTTTCCCCAAAAAATCTCTTAACAAAATACCTTGATAGAAATAACCATAATTTAAAAAACAATAAAAGACCTTTAAAAACCTTGTCCTGGTAATACATTTCAAGAATAAAGACTGTACAAATTAACGGAAGGAGAAAGCTTGAAAGCTTCAAGCTTTCCCCTATTCAAACATACTATTTTACCAAAAATGGCTGGTACCTCTGCAGTAGTGGCAAACAGAAGTACTGTTTGTCTACTGCCATTTCTTCCTCTGTGCAGTAAATCCATAACACAGTTCATCCATAAGTGAGTAATGAGGATATCAGCTTCATATTATATTAGCAAAAATATATCCAAGAGGCTCAATGCTTTGGAAGCACAGAGAACACCTCTACATTCTTAGATTGTTTTGGCCTTTAGGGAATAAAGGTATTTTATCCACAAGACCACTTTCACTTCTAGAGAAATTAACTTTTCACATACCAAGTAATGCTGATCCAAAATTTTAGTTTATGCAAATGCCCTTCTCCAAATTTGACAACTTTACATATAGTGATATTTCTTGCCACTGACTTCCAAGATTCTAATTCCAAAATCATGTAGGGATTAAAGCTAATGAAAGGATTTGTAAGAACCTGCATATCAGCCACTTACCCTCTAACTTCCTCTACTGCTAAGCAAAGCATTAAATTCCAATCATCTTCAGAGACAGACTATTTAAGGCCTCCTTCCACTGCCTAGTACTTCAAAACAAATCAGAAACAGGAAACCACTCAAATCTCCAAGAACCTAAAGTCAGCCTACAGCCCAAACAGCTATAATGTAAACAATCCACTGAGAATTAATTTGACATAAACAGATCTAGGCTAGCTCGCAAGAAAACAAAAGCCATCTGTGATCACCATAGTCTGGATCTCAGGATACACCACCAGCTATCTCACAAGGCACACTGATAATCAGGTGCTGCACGGCATAGATGGGGACTCAGGCTAGCAAACACAAAAGGGATTCCTATGCCAGGCTCCTTGCTAGCAACAACAGGAGGCAGAGAACAGCTTGGGGTGAAGAACAGAGAAGCAGACACACCAAGGTGGCAGTATATAGATGGAGCACATGTACGAAGAGCCATGGCACAGTCAAGAAATGTAAATTCCTGCAGGATTACTAAAGAACCAAACATTAAATTTACTATTTTTTCAGAAGAATGTGCTAAATAAGTTAATCTTTGCAATTTTTCACCATAAAGAATTATAAAATATTTGCAAGTGAAGTATTTAGAGCTTGTCTTTTAAAGCAGAAATCAATTTTCAAGTTCAATATTTAACCACACAGCAAACCACTTATTTCCTACAGCAATTTTGATTTCAATTCATATGGCATGAAAAATAAGGTTCTAGACCAAATAGCTAGCTTTGTGTATTTTGTCTACAGTCCTTTCAGGTGCTTTAGATTGCAGTAAGTTTCTACAAGCTTACCTGCAAATAAGATGTCAGAAGGGGAAGTGGGAAGGGAGGAAAATCCGCTTCTTCCACTTTTTTCCTTCTTTATTATATATACATAATCTGACCTGGCCACTTGCAAAGACAGTTTTTTCCATTTGAAATACCAGAAACAGTAATTACTTGGCATCATACACATTCTTTGGAAAGCTCCAATATGAGGAACTTGGAAAAGGATTTTATCTTTCAAACATAGTGTTTTCTCAATTAAGGTCACTCGCGTATTGTCTGAATGCCATAAATGTGCTAGTTCTACACCAATCCGTATAGCTTTTCTTGACAAATACATATATAAAAATACAAGTTTTCTGTTAAAAAAACAGGTATTACTAAAATATTTCACATACTCACAGACCAAATTTATTTTTATTACTTTGCCAGCTAACTACATTTTTCAGTCTAACAAAGTGATTGTGCCCCTGGTTTCATGCCTTCTGTACAAAAATTCCTGCAAGTACCTCAGTAGTCAGCATCCCTTTCCAAGATTTTCTGGAAATGCTGCCTTCTAACTGATCTGCTTTAGGAAAGTGCAATGAGCCTGAGCCTGCAGGGTATCTTACAACATCCAGCTACAGTAATCTACCTGTAGAGTTTCAAGAGCTAAATTAAACTTTACTTCTGGCACTGTAATAGATCAACAACCCAAAGAAAAACTTGTTTAAAAAAAAAAAAAAGCCTACCTACGTGGTAGAATTATTGTTTAGTAGAACATCCCTATTATACTCAGATTATTCTGTGGATCATGTTCTTTCCACTAACTCTAAGAACTTTTAATGTTAGAAATATGAATGCATATAAAACTGCTCCTCTTAAAACTTCTGATTTTTCCACCTTTGAGCACCATTTCAACATCCTTGTTTTCTAATCCTGCAGCCTGCTTTGGTAAGGGATTTGACACCTAGAACATTTACTGAAAACTTATCCCAGTTAAAAGCCCATACATGAGTGATAAAGACTAGTCATGGCTTTATGATGAAAAGAAGGGAACATTAAATAGACAGGCTTGAAGGGTTTTCCCTACATATGTACCAGGAAATTTTATACCTACAAATAACTACGAACAGAACTCTTAACATAGTGTGATCTAATTCTTAACATAGATGCAAAACTTACTCTATGTAAGCTCTGTGAGCCCAGTTCTTTGTAGTTCATATTAGTTCCACTGGGAAAATAAAAAGAAGCTATCAATTTTGTTCAGCCAGATCCATGACTACACTATAGGCTTTATCAGGTCAGGAACACTGGTAGAATCTAGTAACTGCTAGTGCAGTTGAACAGTCCAGTGAAGATGTTGCTGCAAATGAAGATGTTAATTACCATACTTCCAGACTCCTCATTTTGAGAGGAAGGGCACTTCTTGGTTTGAGACCCAATATACTCATAATAAGATTAACAGCAAGTAACTAACACCAGACTGGAATCTGCAACTAAAGCTGCACTAAAATGCTTTCCTTCTCAGAAGTACAACTCCCTCCTTATGTCACGTCTTCAGAAAATAATGGAACATTTTAGGAATTGTCTGTTCATACAGAAATACAGAAAACTGTTTTGGCAGAGAATTGCTAGAATGTTCCTTTCAAAGCTGTGCTCTATTCACACCTCCCCTCCCTAATCCCTCTTATGCATTTATAATTCAGTCATCATGGAACTCATTATGTCATTAACTCCATCACATAAACATTAACAGTAACTTGCTCAGTCTCAGAAATACTGGATTTCCCATATTTGATATCCTCTGAATTACAAAAAGGTTAGCTAAATTGGGCCACCTGTATCTGGTACTGCCTGTCAGTACACTCACCTAACCAGGAAAATATTAAATAGAATACAAGAGAAGGAATTAAAAAGAATTATCCTGATAAAATACCCTAATTTTTACCTAAACAGTCATCAGTTGCATTCTTAATTTTTCCCCTCTCTACATGTTTTTCTTATGGGCAAGGACCTAAATTGTATATAGAAAAGGAACAGAAAGGCAAGTATTTTTGAGAAAAAAACCCAAAAAAGATGGGCAAAAAACAAGAGCAGAAACACAAAGGGAAGCATACTTTCTGTTTAAGAGTCCAAGTAAACAGAAGTCATCTCTGATGCTAAGAAGAAGCTTTATAGAGCTGTATCAACTATCAAGAAAGCAAAACTAATTCCTTTAATAATCAAAAACTGGTTTATCTCATAGTCCTTGATTATGTGCTCTGTAGAGCATTTATGTGCTCTGTAGACTTATTCACACAGGACTTCTCAACTTCAGTCAACAAATTATTTTGAGTAATACCCTGATGAAAAAAATCACTGAGCATGAAGAGGAGAGCACACTGAAACAGCATGTCAAGAATCAACAGTGCTGTGCTATTCTCCACAGAAAACCCTCCTTAGCCAATTCCAACTGATGAAAAGGTTTTAAGTGTTGCAGAATGAAGCTTGGCAACTTGCAATTGACAGAACACAAGACCCAGAACAGCAGCATGCACGTGAGGATAAGGAACATATCACTGCCAGGTAGTTTTGCCAACACAAGTGAAAGCTGATGATTATTTTCCTTTTCATGAGGGAATGTCTACGCTAACTGAACAGTATAACTTACAACACAAAAGAAGATTTACCATTACCACCTCTGTATACCATCTACAACTCCATCTTCTAGGCAGGTCACTGCACACAAACCGAGTATACGCTGTCAGACTAACGTAAACAACTGCATTTGAAACGGCGTCCTACCGTGACCCTCGCGATCTTCCTCACGCGTTTGTTCCTACTACAAAAGAAATCGATTACAGAGTGACAGGTAGCCCCTACAGAGCAACAACACCTGATCTCCCGTCGGGAAACGGCCCGGCATAGCCACGCCAACGCCCCGTACCGGAACCGAAGACGGAGGTCCGCGAGAGGCCGCGGTGCGGCCCCTTCACTATCGGCCTCACCTCCTGCCGGGAACGGGCACGAACGTCCCTCCACGCTCGGGGACGAACGGAACCGTCCCGCGACACCCGCGGAGAACCAGGAGCGGGGAGCGGAAGAAGGACCGCGAGCAGCAGCAACAAGAGCGGCCCCACGGGCGGCTGCGCCCGCTCACCCGCCCTGTTCCAGCGAGTGCAGGAGGCGGGGCCGTTCGCGAAAGCCCACCGCGATCCCGCCGCCGCCAGAGCGCTGGGCACGGGCGGCCACCTCTCACGGGCCGGCCCTCACGCCCGGGCCTACTTATTCCCCCAGCACCCTGAGGGCCGCGGCCCCGGGCAGACTCACCAGGGGGCTGCCGGTGCTGGCCATGGCCCGCGGGCCGCTCCCCGCGCCCGGACTCACCAGGGGGCTGCCGGTGCTGGCCATGGCCCACCGGGACCACTCCCCACCCGTTCCGCGCCAGGCGCTCGGCCCAACCTGAGCCAATGGGGCGCCCGCGTCCCCCGCCCCTGACGTCACCACAACAATCCCCCCGCCGTAGGCGGGCTTTCCGCGCACTGCGCTCGCTCATTGGTGGCCGTAGCTGTTACTCACACTCGGGCCCGGCCAGAGCGTCCCCCGGCAGCCTCAGCGCCCGAGCCGACGAGAGGATGCGCAGTTGTGGGATGACGCCCCCAGGAAGCTGCGTGTGATGAGGGCGGAAGAGGGCGGGGCCGGCAGCGCCTCCCGCGGTGGCCGTGTCACGGCGCCGTGCGAGCGGGGGCGGCGGCGGCAGCTCGGAGCTCAAGTGCGTTATAAATGCAATTCCAGTGCGGGTATTCGCTCCTGAGAACCCGCCTCGTCTGCGTAACACCGCGGTCCCGTGCCCGTTCTGACAGGCTATTTTCCCCGCGGTGCCCATTAGCCGCTCTCTGTCGGCCGCGGGGGCCGGGAGGGACGGGCCAGCGGTGCACGACGCTGCAGCGAACAAACTGAGTTTGTCAAGGAATTCCTAGAATGGTGAGGGATTACTCAAAAGGATGAGGCAGGAAAAGACCATCTAGTTTACTGACTATCAGAATCTACAAAATACAGATATTTAGCTTCCAGTTGGGGTGGCGTGGAGGGCCAGGGTAATCGCCGTGTCTCAGGGCTGATCCACTTTTTTCATAAAGATTTTTAAAGAAACCAGCCTAAATCAGCTTTCCTGTATGACAATTTTCTCATCCTTCTGCAGATAAGTAGAAAAATTGATCATAATCTTGTAGTAGGTTGGATGCATGGATCGGTGGATGTGTGTGTGCTCGTGTGTATGCCTTCTTTTATTGTAAGCCTACGTTTGCTGTTCAGACTATCTGTATTTTAGGCCTCTCAGAGAAACTCTTCCAAGTACCAAAAGCTTGTGTGTAACTTAGGGCAGTAGTGCTGTAACTGTGTTTGTAGCTACTGAATGACACTGTGATGGTTTTCACATATGTGAGATCAAAGAGATTATCCTGGCAAAAAGGCAGCTTCTTTCCATGTGATCTGGTAAGAATTTTCTCTCCTCTGTTACAGTTTTGGGTCTAACTAGACAGTATCATAATAGTTCACACAGGGGCTTGAGCAGTTGGATTTATGTTTATATCCTTGGATACTTTTATAAGGCTCAAAAAGTATCAGGCTCATCACAAAGCTAGTAAAATTTCTGGATCATACACAGGAAGTTTACAGCTATTTCAAACATCATATTGCCAAGAGTTGTGAACGCAAAGAAAAGGAAGGAACCAAAAATATCAGACTTGCAAAAATACTACATGACTACTCAGTTAAGCTGTGTATATCAAGGCAGTTCTGTGCAAACACACATCCTGTTCCAGCATGGCTTACTTGGGCACATATGATACTCTGATTCAGCTTCCCTGGGCTGTGGATCATCTGTACAGACTATGTGTATTCCAGCATGGATGAGCCAAGGCAAACACAAAGCAGGCAACAGCATCACTATAGGCAATTTGCTAGGTTCTGCTGCTTAATATCAGCAAACTGTAACATTTTCCTTTCTAGAAAAGCAAATGGTGCCTTTAGAATAGAGGTAATAAAATACACAGTAGCATTTAAAGCCATGAAATATCAATATCTTATGTAATCCTTCGAGATGACAATGCTGTAGAGTCCAATGGCTTCATCTGGCAGAGTTTAGGGTACCAAACCTGCTGGAAAACTTGGACAGTAGATATTTTTACCTCCTGTTCAGTTGAAAACAAACTGAGAAAATAAAATTAGTTAGGAAAGGGGACAACCACAACATCTGCACGTTTGTCATCAGTCTTGGGAAAAAGGGAGAGTGAAGGCCCATTACTGTTCAGGAAAGGAAGTGGATGGTAGATTGTGTGTAATGGGTTGAAGAATAGAGCACACCATTTTTCTTCCATTGAACAATCTAGTTTTAACAATGAAGATAATATTATTAATTTCAACAAGATAATAGCACACAAAACATCTGAGTTGAAGTCCTTAGCACATGTGTTAAATTCTGTAGGAACAGATGAAATTTGCCTTAAAGTTTTGGGGTTTTTTGGAAAATTAAAACAAAAACACCAAAACCAAACAAATAAACAACCCCAAAGAAAAAAACCCAAAGCAAAACGTAAATAACTGAAGCAGTCTCTGCAATGTTAAAAGAGACTTGTTGGGGGCTATCCAAACTACCTGAGAAGCCATTTCTGAGAAGCCATTCAAGGAACCTAGAGGACTTCAGAAAGATAGTGTCTCATCTTCAAATGTAGGAAAGGTAAGGCGCAAAATAATGCTACAGCAAGTGGATAAACACAGAAACAATATAACTTCCATCTCTGACAAGAAAGTTTACTTGCTGCTAACAGGGTAGGTAGTATATAATTTGACTTTGCTAAGATTTTTGACACAGTTCAATTTTAAAGGTATACTAAGGAAGCTAGTTGACCTAAATGGTAGCAGCTAGTCTTGTTAATGAACTATTAAATTTTTTGATAATGCATTTGAGTCTAATCATTAACAGTTCCTTGTTAAAGTGGAATGACATTTCAAGGGGGATTCCAGGCTCAAACTTGGTCTGATTCAATATTTTCATTAGTTTTGGTAATGAAATAGAAGTATGTATACAAGATTTGTAGGAAGGATTTTAGTCACTTGGGGAGACAAAAATGAAGAGGAAAAATATTTTGATATATTTGAAATACACTCTAATATGGAATTACATAGAGTGCAAAGCAAAGCACTTCAAAAAAGAAAGCAAATGTATTAATATAAATTCTGAAATAATAATTTGCTAGCAATATATTGAAATAGGATGTGAGAGCTACAGGGTACCAGAACTTACATAATTAAATAATAGTTAGTTTTTGCAAATAAATACTATTTTAACATGTGATGACATATAGAATTGGAGAACGGCAGCTAGTACTTCTTTCATTCTTCGTGTAACAAACGAGGATGCGGTTGAATAAGTATATCCAAGTCTAGGCATGATGCCTTCGGGAAGATGTGAGGCAGTTGGAGAGAATCGGGGGAAGGAAACGCTGCCTGGGGGGGGACGCGGAGGAACCGTCCGGGATCCGCCAGCGGGGGGCAGCCACGGGCCGAGGGGCAGCGTGCTGGGCCGGGGAGGGGGACACTGCACAGGGGACAGGGGGACACTGCACCATCCACCCAAGGGGACTATCCAAAGTACCTGAAGCCCGCACCCAGGGGCCATACAAGAAGCAACACAAAAACAGAACTGAAGGCAAACTTTGTCCCTCAGACCTGAATGGAGGCTAATAGAGCCCCCACGCCCTGGGCAGTTTATGTGAGTAGAAGTCCCAGGTGAGACAGAAAAATCAAACCAAACCAAACAAACCCAACAACCCCCAAACACACCACCAAAAAGCATACCTACAATTCAAAATCTTTGTCACAGAACATTTCCAGCTCCTTAGTGGCTTACAAGCACTACTTAAATATCTTCCAAAATAGTTTATTTTGGCAAAACTCAACAGAAGAAAAAGGGGGAAATGCTGTCTACTTTGTTCTGTTTGCAGGTGATACGTATAGCATGTGCTCAGTAGTCCCAGGATATGAAAGGCTTCACAGGTTTGACCATAACCAGTATTATGTCTCCTTATTAGAGACATAATATTAGAGATTGTAGTTCTCTATCTTCCACTGGAAGGATATGTATCACTCTTAGGGGCAAAGGTCAGCCTTAGAATTATTCAGAGATTCTGGAACAAGCTGTGAAAAACCATAGCTTGAACCTAATACCAGTCTTAAAAAATACACACACACACACACATACAGACACAGACACAAAAAAAAAAAAAAAAAAAAGCAAAGGAAAGGGGGGGAAAAGGGGGGTGGCTATAATTTGCTTTTTTAGAAAATGTGTAGTATTTCAGTGGTTGATGAAAATGAGGCTTTGCTTTTCAAAGACCTCATTGTAAAGAGGCATTTTGTTTTAGCTCCAACAACTAATATTTATAAGTAATTCCGTAAAAGCAGAATCAGCTAAAAGTTTTTAAGAGTTTCAGTTGGAGCACTGCTGATGCTGGAATATAATTTCAGCCTTTTAACCATCAGCCGTCATCATCTGCAGACCCAGTTCTTATTGTCTTCCTATCTTGCCCTAATGAACACAAGCAGCCCAGACTCTGACTTTTCATTTCTCTCAAGTAATTTCTGACTACATTCAATCTCAGTTTTCTTTTGCTTCTCTATTAATGAAGACTACCTTAATGCATTCTCCCTTCCACAGAAGTCTGACCTGCTTCTTCTTACTCGTATCTGAATATAATTGTTCCCACTCTCATTTTGCTAATATAGCTGGTACAGAATACCTTATTAACAAAACAAGATTTTATGAAAATGGTTATATTTCTGTGCAGTCACGTTCATAAGAAAGGAGGGAACCCACCTCGTCGGCGAGGTTCTTGTCTGCCAAGAACTGATGAATCTAAGATACAATTGATCTGACAATTTCAAAAAGCGTCCCTCAGATTCTGAATATTTGAAATTTGGGACAATATATCAAACCACACTATGGGGTATAAAAGTTTGGGATCACCAAAATCCTCCATGTACGTGGAATTGTTTTACAGATTTTCTCATCCTGGGGAAATAATGGCAACTGTTAATGACAGCAACATCATGTTCTTCTCTTGCCACTAGATTGTGGCAGAATAATAGAAGCACCCTTGAATATAGTTTGTAAGTTAAAAAGCACCAAGAATCAGAAATGGGATATTTTTTCAGGGATCAGAAAAGCTCTTTGCTTACAACATTGAAAACTAATCACTGCTATCACCTGTGGATGTCACACAAATCAGATATTAGGTCCTCTATCTGTTCCTGTTTTTCTCACAGATGAAGACTGCTCACAACAGTTTAGCACACTTTTTGGGAAGGATGTCTCGACCCACTTTGTTTCTTCTACATGAAATCTTTCTTTGCCTTGTCAAAACTAATCTGTGCTCTCACCAGAGAGACAAGGGAAGCACTCCAAAGAGGAAGGAATGAATGTAT